GAAAAATTCAACATTGAGAACGATCATTTCATCCGTTTACGAAATCGAAAAACTTTTTCAGTGAATAAGTGTGTGATACTAGTTCGTCATCATTTCATATTTTCATTAATATTCACCATCCAAAATCACCGGGTGCCGTGCGTCGGCCGGAATTTTTTGATTTTTAACAATTCCCACTGACGTTTGTAATTCACACAAAACTTCTGAAGGTAATGTTGCAGTTCAGGTTGGTAAAATCAAAACAACATTTCGTTCGTCCACATTTGCAGTTAAGTGTGTGGTGTAGTTAGGCTTAGACTTAGACTTAAGCCTAGGCTTAAGTTCAGGCTTAGGCTTATCGACTTCGAGTGTGAATGAACGAAGTGCTGTTTTGATTTTACCAACCTGAACTACAACATTACACTTCTGAATAAATTTTACACACTGCATTTTGCTAAGCAATGGTCTAAAAGTGGTAATCAACACAATGCTTCAGCATCATTCAAAAATGGCTCCACCAACCGCAACTGTTGTTGTGTCGACTCGTGAAGAAGACTCGATGAACAATGAGCCATCGTTGAGTGGTCGTCAGATTATTGGTATCATATATCCACCTCCGGATATCCGAAGTTTGTTATTTGGGCAATTTTTTGAAAATATTTCATTGGATAATATTTTCGTTAAAACGAGACCGAAATTTTCATTGGATAACTCGTACAAGCATCATTATGAAAAGCACTCGACGAAGGCACATACATACACGAATATGAAGTCGATTCGTAATTAAGATCTTAGAATTTCATTCGTGAACGCATATTGAAGATTCATCAAAGTTGCTAAATGAAATGCACAAATCGAGAGTTAATCTTACAGTTAGAAGTATTTTCTCAATTTCGCAATTAAACAATGAGGTGATGGCTTATAATCGGATAAAAAAGTAATGAGGCAAAGGTAGTGTTAGGCTGCATTTAATCACTAATCAAATATATCCTATCAACTAGTTTGGAATCTTAAAAGTTTTTAAAGAACATTGAACCGCATACATCACTGCCTCAGACACATCCAGCCGTACAGCAAACACAAACAACTCTGCAGTAGCGTTTTTTCTTTCTTTGTAAATGAGAAAGAAAAAAAGTACAGCTTGATCACTGTGTATGTGTTTTGATCAAACTTTTATGTGTTACGCACATTGATCTTGACCGATGGAAATTTTGATCTCTTGAGAAATTTTTCCTGAATTCATAAAATTTCTATGAAATCTGACGAAGATTTTTCAATTTTTATGTTTCTCCCAATGGAAACCTTAATTTGAGAATAATGTATCATCAGTGTTTAAATTATTTTCGGTATAAATCGAATTTTATTGTGGAATTCGACGACGATCACCATCACGAAAATCGCTTTTTAGATTCAATTGAAGACCGTGAAAATTTTCATAAAAGACGAAAATATTATTGCAATTTTAGGAACAGAAAATAATTTTGCTGATTTCGAATGAAATTTTCAGCAATTGTTGACAAGACAGCCGCATTTGTGGCACGAAACGGGATCGATTTCGAGAATAAAATTCGTGAGAAAGAATCGTCGAATCCGAGATTCAGTTTTTTGAGTAATACAGATCCATATAATGCCTACTATCAGCACAAAGTGGTTGAGTTCCGTGACGGTAAAACCACTGAGCCCGCAGTTCAGGTGACTTATCATCATTGGTATCGTTATTGTTATTATCACTGTGCTCATTGTTTGACTATGAATATCTTGAAACTGATCCGCATAATAACGAAAACTGCTAAAAATGATTGCGAGTCTTGATTTTCGGNGAGAAACATGAACGATTCATCTGGTGTAAATAATGATAAAAATGTAATGTTAATATCAATTACAACGGTTGTAATATTAGTTAAGATAATATATTCAGTAGTAGTATAACGGTAAGAGTGATTTTACTAATGATAGTAAGAATATTAAAGTTTAGCGTCCTCAAGTGCCAGAGGCAGTGAAAGAGCATGTAAAGCAAACAGAGTTCATTCCACGGAATCCACCACCCCCGTTCGAGTTTAAAACTGATCCGGCAACGATCAACGCATTCGATTTGTTCGTTTATTATTTCTTTATTCAGTTCATATTTATGCACGTATTGACGATGCTGTTTCATTTAGTTGCTCGATTTGAAAGTCGTTCAGTACGAAAACAAAACTTTTGTGATGCAAACGAATCATGAAATCATCTCATTATCAGTCTTATTTGCATCGAATCATATCAATTTGATTGGAGCCACGTTAATATTTGAGATTCATTAGTCGCAAATGAAAACCTCAAACCTTTAAATGTTCA